TTGATTGGGTTCCTCGCAATTGATAACCGTATTTGCGTGTCTTTGTCGCGAGCAAAGAAAGGTTTCTTCTGCATTGGGAATTTAACTTTGATGAGAGCAGCAAATGATCTCTGGTCAGATATTCTTGATGACATGGAAGAAAGGGGTTGTGTTGGAAAGTCCCTATCACTGGCATGTCAAAATCACCCGACAACCATAACGCATGTCAGTAACGACTCTGATTTCAAGAAAGTTCCAAATGGTGGATGTAGTGTCAATTGCAAAGCGAGATTGGACTGTGGTCATAAATGCGAGCAGCTGTGTCATCCAACTGATCCTAATCATGAAGAATACGACTGCAGGAAGCGTTGTCAAAAAAAATGCCAGCGTGATCATCCGTGTAAACGTCTTTGCTATCAGGATTGCAATAATTGTATGGTTGAAGTTTCCAAGGTTGTTCCCCGATGCAATCATCTCCTCGGAATGTCCTGTCATCAGGATCCCTCCACTTTTCAGTGTACAAAGCCGTGTCCAAAGAAGCTCCGTTGTGGACATGCATGTCCAAAAAAATGTGGAGAACGTTGTGAAAGAAAATGCGCTGAAGAGGTTCGCAAAACTTGGTCTTCGTGTAATCATACATACAAAACTCAATGTCATATTGATCCTACGAAGACTGTGTGCCCGAAACCTTGTAACACTTTACTGAAGTGCGAACATATTTGTACAGGTAAGTAATTAAGCATTGCTTATGCAGATAGTAAAATTGAACCTTTTTATATTTGAAATTCTTTGGAATCGTAAAAACGCAATCAACGATAATTAAAAGAAAATGCTGAGAGAAAGTTTTGTAAATTTCACATCCAATTTTTATCCAAATTTAACCAACCTTTTGTTCGCGTATCATTGACCTACGTTTAATAGACCCATAATTTATCTCCATATATCAGGCGTTAGCCCGGGGCGAGGGTATTAATTCCGCCCGGCTATTTACAGCCGGGGAAAGGAAAGCATTAGCGAAGTCTAAAGTTCATCAATGATCGCGTGCGTGGGTAAAAAATATGGCTGTTTGCCAGGAGTGTGATAGACAAGATTTCAATTTTCAAAGGATGTATTTGGAAAATCACGTTTCACACAATGAGCTTTGAAGAAATTTTTGTTTGATGTAATGAGAAGAATTTATTTACTGTGGAAAATCGTGGAATATAGTTATATAGGGCAAGTTTGCCTTGAATGTTTAATGTTTATGAATTTTGTTGCTTTAATTTATTGCGTATAAAAACATGCACTGGTTT